TAAGGCGAATAGGAGAGATATTTGGAGATAGGCTACATTGGGAACTGTTTGGTGACTCATCATTACGTCAGGAATGGTGCTTTTGGGGGGTGGCGAGCAGAGAGAAGCTAGACTGTTGAAGCCGTTTTACAGAGCTGGTTGTAGCCTCTTTGGACCAATCATTCCTCTCAACCTAGATAAAAGTCACTAGATAAGAAAACTAAAATGCAAGACACTCGCAAAGTTCTGCCAACAATCGTAACTTTACCATAAGCAAACAAATAGCTCAACTTATTGTGTGCAGAGGATGGATATTAATTTTCTTCTTGACGAATTCGCATGGTTTCTGAGCACTTCAATAATTGATGAAATGCTATATATATATTAATCAAGTGAAATTGATAAATTTAACGTTTGTATAAAAAAATATTTTTTTAATTGGACAAACTTCCATTTAACAACCAACCACTAACTGGATTTGTTAAACAATTTTGCATCATTTACAATTACTTGGTTTACTTGCATCATTCTTACCTGTTTGCCTTGTCGATGCTTCTAGTAGTTTGGAACGTTGCTTGGGAAGTGCAACCTTGCCAGCTGGAACATGACACAAATATATTACAAAAAATATTTTATGTGATGCTTCCTGAGCAGTATTTATAGGACACATACACTTCTGCTTGTCAAAAGCACACTGAACACAATATGACAGTATTGAAGTCTATATTTATTAGAAGAATTATATTGTAAGGGGGTTAGCCGCTAGCTTTGTCAGCAGGGTCAGTTGGAAAGACACAGAAATCACGAATAGCCGATCGTATCGTCATAGCGATATAACCAAGTTAAAATGCCTTCGTAAAGTCTGCAGCGATCACTTCAGAGAGCTGACTATACTAGCACACTTTTAAGTAAGTGTAATATCGAAAATAGCTTATAAACATTAGTTATTAGCTCATTTTGACTTTAAGGTTTTCAGTAGTTTTCTTGCTTATTCCATGCAGTCTAGATTATGAAAACAACTGTTAGTGTTATCATTGACAGCATTTATCGCTACAGAGTAGTATAATTATAATAGGAAAATGCCAGTGGCAAAGTTCATCTGGTAATTGGTAAATAATCGAGGCCAGGTGTCTCTAGTACGAGGTACCAGGTACTTGGCTATATTAATCACCGGCATTCATTCTACATGTTTTAT